ACTACATTGGCTTTGTATTACTAATGTTTTTGACATCCACACTAAAGAAATCATGCAAGGTATGTGACTGTCCAGCCATTTTAAAAGTTACTATAAATCATCTGTGCCTGGAGACCTTCCTTTTAAATAACTCTTCCAGGAACTAAACGCTATTTACAAATATATAAAAATCCTAGTGTTTTCAGGCACCCCAGGTATGATGTGCGTCAGATTTCAAGTCCTGTATTTTACTTTGCCTATTTGGCGTCTATTTAAACTAGTTCATTTTCCCAAATAAATTGTCAGTCATACAGTTCATAGCAGGCATGACTAAACGATAATCATTCAGTTCATTGAGCAGAAATACTGACCTACTAATTCAAATACTTCAGATAATCCATTGATTCCTTACCAGCCAGACTTTCTCTCACATTTGACAGATTTCTGCATTCCAACAGCATTTTATCTAGTTCAGCATTCTAGTTGCACTTTAGGGAAAAAAAAATATCAGCAATTGCATCCAGTTTTGCTAACTAAAGGTCATATTCTGCCACACTGTACTTAACAGAAAGTTTATTAACTTTAGATGAAACCAACTAAAAACACTAATACAGCATCAGTTGGTCTAAATAGAGATGTAAGTATCTCAAAGATACATTTCTACAAGGTCTAAGCAGGGGAAAGCAGGTAGAAATCAGCAACAGGAGTTCTGTCCTTACTAGAAATCAGACAATTTGTACAGGACAGAGAATATAAAGGCCATCTAAGACAGAGTTTTTAATTTTCTTGTTATGACACCATCCTCCACCTGCTTGAAATGCAAATGAATAGTGGACTAAATATAACTTTGCACTTAAACTTTAAAATTCTCTAATTATTTCTCTGTATGAACAGTAGCTCCACAGAAAAATATATCAATGCTTCAGAAACACAAATAAAGAGATTTTTCCAAACTGGAATGATTTCATGTCCTACCTATCATTTTCCCCATATGCAGATGCTCTTACACACCACACATACACCTCCTGTGGGACAAACCAATGCTGGATTCTCTGCTCAGCTTTGAACTTGGGACTGCAACTCCATGGTAATACTTAAACTGTAGTGGAACTAAATAACAAGTCCACGCTCTGACCTGTGGACCTGATCAACCTGGCCTATGGTAACGGTGTCAAAACCCCACCATTGTTTAATTCTCTCTTGCAAATGCCCTTGTATTCTGTCCACTGGGCAACAAAATGGAGCAATGTCTGTTCACTGGCACAAGACTTAGTAATGAAAACCATTTGCCTGCTGTCATATGCCCTTGTGTACACTTGCAATGTGGCTAAAATGCAGTCACCCCTGTACCATGACCAAACACCTGGATGCTGCCTAACAAGAAACAGCAAAATTTTATGTGACAAGTGTGCTTTCAGTTATTAAACAGGGAATTTAGTTTTCAGGTGCCTTTGTAAGAGGCTTCAGGACCTACTGCAGCTCTAAGCTTTGTGACTTCTCACACGATACTCTAAAGTAGTTTATTTCATTAAAAGCGTTCCTCATACTAAAGTGCGTGTGCAAGGCTACTTCTCTACTGCTACTGAAAAATTACATGCCATAGTCACTGGGTTACACCTCACAAGACTGTATCAAATTTGTGTCTTAGACATAAAGCACGCACTTTCAAGCACTGCTTAAACGTTGGGTGTCCTGGTAGATGTTGGTGAAATCAAATTTCAGTGTAATGGCTACATAAAGACCTCTCTAGAAGGCACTAACATCGCCCCAAAAAATCAGTTTAATCTTGAAGCATGGTAAATGTTAAAATTAAAATAATTATAATCATTTAATGGCTTAATGTGAATGAAATCTACAAGTCACTTTAGTAATTTATGAGCACCCACCTTGAATGTGTGAAAACAGACACTGGGTTTAATCATTATTTAATAGAGTGCAAAGGGCAGCTTTCAAAGATTGCGCTAACCATCTACTGCAGCCCCTAATATCTTCCTGTGTAGGTATGCTATATATGCTATATATATATATACACATATAGCATATTAATACACATATATAGCAATCACTTTGCCACTATCTGGACGTAAGAGCCACACCTGTGTAAAGCTACAGGTCTGCAAATCCCTTTTCACTCAACTAACAGGGAACTGCTGAATTGCTGAGAAGAGGGGGGAGGAGAAGTGGGTGGATGGAAGAATTGAGGTAAATACTCCTTTTTGGAAAAAAAAAGGAAAAAAAAGTTTATCACCTTGCTTGATAACAGCTGCATCACACAAAATTTAAACCATATATTCTAATATTGTACTCTGGTTTTGAAGCCTCTGTGGTTAAGGGGATTTATAAATAACTACAGGTTTAGACTTAAGAACAGAAACCTTGGATTTTCACAGATACCATATAAATAGTAGTTTTGCTCTTTTCCCATGCTTCATTTTTGGCAAGGTCTCAACAGCCATTAACTAATAAACTGAACTCAAGATCAATGTTTTAAATCATTTTACAGCTGTGATTACAAACTGCTTTCAGCTAATACATAGGGTTGGTTTTTTTAGCAGTTCTCAGGGGAAGGACTGCTGAGATCATGCTAGACTTTGAAAAGGATAAATTCAAAATCACCACCTGAACAGCATGATTTTGAGATACAATCTCAGTTTGAAAAGACTATGCATATGTGTGCTTGCTACTAATGTAGGAACCTTAGCTCTCTGACAATTTAAGGCATATGCAGCTAGAGCCTTGATGATGAAGAAATACAAGGCTGACAAGAATCATTGCCCCTTTCACCTGCAATGCTTTTGTAGCATAGGTAGCATCATACATTCTAGACCTATAATTGCTGGTATTGCTGATTTAAAAAGATTAAACAAATAATGAAAGAAAACTCAGGCAAAAAGTAGGTGAAATTAAAAGATATGAAATAAAGTGAAAAACAGTGGGAGTGATGGACCCAGAAAAATCAGAAAGGAGAAGAATGACAGGCACCCTATTTTAAGTTTAATAAGCTAGTCAGTCATTCATCATATTCCAGCACATTATATTCCTGTAAAGAAATGAATTGTGAAATAAACGATGCACTGAAACTTCTCTGAGAATGAACTCTTGCCTTTCCCACTTGCATCCTTCCAACATTTTCTAACGACTTTAACTGGTGCTTTTGTAATCAAAGAGAGAATTAGTACTATCACCTTTCATTTATTAGTATCAACCTTTATGCCACAAAATTATTTCATAGTGAAGCCAAGTACCTACTTAAGGACAAAACCCTCCAGGATTTAGGCTAAACATATTTGTGAAACCGAATGAGTAAGGTAAATGGTTGCTAACAGCTAACATAAATGAAACCTAAAAATGAAGTTTTCATTTTTGCATTAACGTATGTTGTACTAAGTAACTGAAAACACATCTTGATATTGACTTTAAATTAAAAAGTGGGAGAAGTTGTGATGCACAAAAAATCCTTCCTTTGCTTCTGGGATGTTATTCATAATTTATTATTTGGTTTTAGCATTTCTGCTCTCACACACTAAACCCGAAACAAAAGCAAAACTGACATTTATGAAATTTCTAGATTTTGAACAGTAACATTTTCTTTTAGTGTTTGTTACTGCAGAAAAGCCAATATTCAAGGTGAAGAATAACAAAGGCTGAAGATCTAAACTGGCTACCAAGATGAGCAGGTATAAGACTGGGATGCTAATTTCAAAAATCAAGTCCAAAGGTACTTCTGCAAACTAAATGCATCATTTTATAAATTGGTCATTTATATAAACTAATCTAACAGCTGTTCAGGCAAATAGGTGGGTCTGAATGTCGAATATTCAACATTTTAAGTTTCTCTAGTGAATTATACTTCTGTGCTTTGTTAATCAGCACAGGTAGATTTAAAGGCAAGAACAAACAAGTCGTATTTATGATATCATGCTAATAGTTATGATGTTGATATAGCAAAAGAGATAAATATAGATAAAAAAGAATATACTTAGTATAGCCATTTCATTGCAGGCAAAAATAAAAGAAATCCACAAATGAATGGTAAAAATGAAAGGTTAAATTGTAAAAATAAAGGATATTCACAAATGACATACAAAGAGGCCTCCAAAATGAAACTATTCTTTTACTACCAGTGATAACATGGCAACCCACATAATACTAAGCAAACAGATTTTCTGGGTTTAGTCCTTTTTAATCTCCAAATAACAAATTACCCTACCACTAACAGACAAGACTGTAATCTTAGCTTCAGCAGACAACATCTTGAAATACTTCATGGTTATCTGGAAATAAACATCAATGCAAAGGAAAAGATCATTTGTTCAGTGTATTTCAGAAGGATTACTAAAAGTCTCAGCTGGATAGTCACTTTTTTTGGATGATCTCCTACTTTACTACTTGCAGACAGTACAATATGAATAAATAGCCTAGAAAATCCCAGAAAGCTTTATCATCTTGATTAGAGATAAAGTTTAACTTCAGCACTCTTAAGGGGCCAGAAAATACTCTTAAATGCAGTAACTGCTTGAATTCCAGAAACAAAAGTGCCAACAAATCCATTTTCTATGGGAAAATGATTTTGAAAACAGTGAATTTTAACCATTTCTGCATAAATCTTAACTTCTATACATACTTTCAGCAGTGGGAACAGACTGACTGAAATCAAAGAGATTAATCACAGTGTATAAAGCCTGATAAAATTATGGACTAAAATATTAGTATCAAGGCAAATAGCAGATATTCCATTTGAAGCGTATCTCCTTTATCTCATTTCTGAAAACATGCTACCTGAAACTATTAGGGACTCAAAGAGATGGCACCTAAATGACAATGAGAAGAAAAACATATATTTCAAAATGCAAGTTTGACTATTTTTTATGTTAAAAAATTAAATTTTCTAGGGGGAATATTTCTTTAAAACTGAAAGTTGTCCCACAGTATTTGCACAGCTGATGCTCTTCAATTGCAGACACATGTAATTCAGGGAGGTTGCAATAGCAGAAAGGCTAGTTTGAATGAAGTGATCATACCGGTTACTGTTTTTGTTTTGACAGGACTGCTGGCATACTCAGAGGCTTGATTTGACTGCTGCCTTGCCAAAGGTGCACTTCCAACTGATGCTTCATCCTCTTTTTTCCGAGTTGCTGACACACCCAGCGGAACAGTTCCTACAGACTGCTAGAAAAAGAAATGCCTTGTGAACCACTCTAAACCAAAACACGTTAGTACTCAAGACACTGTCAGAAGCGTAACTTAAACTACATATTTTGAAATGTATAGAAGACAACTTGAAACAATGATTGGAGCACATATACTTTGAAAACAAATTATCAAACACTACAGTCAGACTTGCACTTGTAATCATTTCAGTCCTGTTAAGCTGAAGAAAGCTCCATGATAACAACAACAAAAAAGTGAAATATATTTTATTAACTTAAAATATCATCCTTGTTAACTAATCAAATGCATGTGAATAAACCTGGATGATCACCAAAGCAAAATCATTATCTAAATGTTTAATGGGAACTGGAAAACTGTAGCCAGATATGAAGATACTAAAGTTTTGAAAAGAAATGTATCAACCGTCATTAAACTTTGAAAAAGATGCATAGGTATTTATACGTTATTGTATTTCCTCCTGACATTTCAAATATAAAATTCAGTTCTGACCACTACCAATTTTGAATTGTTTTGTCTTTCCAGCACATCAACAAATTACAAAATATTCAAAATATGACAGTGTTAAACAAAACTGAAGGAACTGAAATCTAGTTTGAAACACCACATCCTTATTTTAAGATTAGGAAACAGTGACATGCCTTAATGCACATGGGTTCTGGAACTGGAGGTTCACAAATGAATAGGGTCTACTGGCTTCACTGTTACTTTTTTTATTAACGTAAGCTAGAAAAGACAAAATAATTCAAAAAACTGGATCCTCAGTAACAGTTGGCTGTTAACATTCTGCTATAGCATTAGCTGCTATATAAAATGTAGATGTATCATGGTTGACAAAAAGCAGAATATTTCTACCATTGATTTTGCAGAGGGTTATCATTTAAAGATGACAAAAGTTTTTTCCTAAAGATCAGACATTAGGCTTACAAGCATCTTAATCAATTTTGTGTAATTTAATTTTGCTGGTATTGAAGCGAAAATGTAATCCATATAGCAGGGTAACGAGAAACCTCACACGTTGCAGTAGGAATCTCTGTGGGAAACAAATTCGTGTGAGGCGGGCAATGTGCTTGTAAATTTTCTCCAATAGAAAACAGATCACTGAATCAAGCAGTGTGCAACACGTGCACACATATACAAACCCCAAAACAAACAGAAAAAGCATTTAATTGGAGGAGCATGACTTCCAAACGCCTTAACCGTTTTCCACTATAAAAGTAAATTAAAATAAGAAAGACAATTAACTATTTAATCCCACTCCAGTGAAAACAATCAACTTATATATACAGCGGTATGCAAAGTTAATAGGAAAATACTAATGTCAATGACAAACAGAGTTCTCATCTCTCCTCCTCCCTCTGAATGTACAGTCATGAGCTTTGTCTCCAAAAGCACTAAAAAGTCATTCTGGACTATACAGTAACATGCCACTTTGGTGTCCTCTAGCTATTACAACAACAACAAAAAACCATCAGCTTTGAAAAGACGAGCTTTACACCACAGAAATACTTCCCATGTGCATACAGAGAGAGAAGCTGAAGTTTTATAAACTTTCATCAGGCATTTTTCATCAGTTATGTTCAAAATGCAGCAGTTCATCTGATACAACCTGGCATAAGGCAAAGCCATCTGCAGCTTTGCCGTGACAGCAACTGTTGAGCCATAATTTGGCAATTCTGGACATAACACTGAAAGAACACTGACTTGCCAAAGTGAAGCAAGAGTTTCTGAAGAACAAACACAGACAGTGCAAGACAGTACTAAAGATAATAGGTTGGAAATACTGTCTGAAGCAGCAGTATCTATTCCTGAACCCCTGAAGAAATGGATCAGCAAAATATAGTAAGTTACACCACTAGTCATATACTGAAAAACATCAAGGCTATCACAGCCAGACAAAGCTGGAAAAAATTATGACCAAATCTTGAGTGCTTGAGTGCTGATCTGGACAATGAAACAGCTGTTTCATCTTTGCTCACTGAAATCAAGCCTGATGTTGCTGTTGATGACGCCCAGTACAATCTTGTCAGGTTTTTGGCATAAGATTTCTGGTTAAAAGAATGCAGAAGATGAAAGATCAACACTGAACTAGATGGAAAAGGATCATCAAGATTTGGGTTTTAGCCACAAACCAATGAGGAAATTGTGGCTTGGGAAATAGCAGATGACAAGAGCCCCACAGCTGTACGAAGAGATGAATCTGATGGGAAAGGAAACATTGCAGGCAAGTGCTATCATAAGCATTCATCACAAGAATCCAAATAGATAGCTATAAAGTAATATGTACTATTTTAAGTTTAATACACCTACTTGGGATGTAAGCTTTATGGTTACTAATTGGTAGTGTTACAGAGCAGATGACAATTATCACATAAAGTTAAGGAACTATGGCAACATTTATATGAGATTGTTTTGTTGACATGAAGTCAAATCAGATTCTTTTCTAGAATACTGACCACAGTTTTATCAATGAAATAATATTTTGTGCCTATTATACACTGGGTACTAGATTAGTAGTAATACATGGTACTCAAACCAAGAAAATTTACTACTTTTCCAGTGCAATTATTACAATTAACTTTTTAAGCAGGTGCTAAATCTACAGGAAAGCTATCCTTTTCCTAACTTAAAGTTTATTGACAGAAATAATCTAACACATTACACACCATGTTAAGGATGTGTACACAAACCACGCATACATATATGCTATTCATGCATGTAAATGGATCAACAGGTACATATTATATTTTTATTTTACTTCATACTGTGCAGTCAACATGACTTTGGAAATTATAAAGATCTAAAATCAGCAAAAGGCACAGACAGTAACAGCTAAAACCCAACCTGCCAACAATACCAAGCCCCAGGTATTTCCTGATGTATGTGGAGATATGCCAACTAACTAAAATATCCTGTAAAGAGGGCTAGTGGAAATTTGCCCCAGGTAGAATAAATTAATATTTTACTTTCCTTGGGATTTTCATTAATTAAATATTTTATTTCTGAATTGTAACCTCCCACAACTGTGAGGCTATAGAGGATTCAGGCAGATCTGGGAACATGAGAAATGTGTTCTAAAGAAAACTTGACCAACTGAGTAGATGAGTAATTTCCATTTGAGGGATGCCTGGACTGTCACATCCCTGATAACAAACCAAACAAAGCAAAAGAATATTCCAAGATAAGAACTTACATATTATTAGTAAAGGGGGAAAAACAATAAAAAAAAAAATAAAAAAAAGAAGCACTGGCTTGTGAAATGCTGAATTCAGAAGCACCAGCTCGGACATGGGTTGCCATCACTAAAATGGCACCAAAACCTGCTATCCCATACAGTGGATACTGAGTGCACAAGGATTGATGTATACATGTGCAGTAACTTGCAAGCAGCAAGCAGGAAATAAAATTAATGAAATCTTTGGAATAGGGACAGATGGCAGTTCCACTCAAGAAATGCAAGATCACTGTCATGCAATCACACTACCTGCCTCAGAGAAGAATATTCATGTATGCTGCAAGACTGTCCAAGCTGTGCCAGAATGAGCTCCAACAATCAGGAGGATCTACCCTACCTGCCTTGCAACAAGTTCTAATATCATGAAATCATAATCGCTGCTTGACTACAGAGTTACATTTCATTGTTTCGATTTCTGAGATAAGCAATATAAGCACGCACCTAAATTGCTTCAGAAAGCTCAAAAAAAATTAGGCAATAGGCCTGGTTTACAATTAAAATTAAAGTAATTAATAAAACTACATGAATTAAGATTAAATTAACTCCTAATTAAAAAGATGAGGCATGCTTAACCCCTGGGGTTCACAAAAGCACCATCTTTCCTGGCAGACGATCTTGCTAATTCAAGTGAGTGCTTCAGGTAGGAATTTCAGGTATGCTTGGAAAACTGCTCTGCTGATAAAAAAGACCAATCATTGATTAGCTGTAATTTTTCCAGACTTATGTGATGAACTGATGTTAGCCAAGAATCCCCACATTTTCACCAATTGCTCTCTGTCTGCAGTTTCAAGGGGCCTCTGAAAGTAGAAGATATAAGGTTCAAGTCCCATGTAGTTTTAGCTCCTTAAGTAAGCAGTAACTCTATTCGCACATCCTTCAGAAACTTGATTGCTTTCCTAGGGGTAAGAGTGGCAGATCCTGATAGGGATAAACACAGTGCCTTTGGCCTGCAAGAAATATCAGAAATCAAAATCTATTATAGTTTGAGAAATCTTTGCAGATCAATAGAATTATGTTTATCATGTAAAAATGCTTGTTTTATCAAAGCCTGTCCTAAATGATAAAATTATAATATTTTATGATGAAATGACAAAAGGTCTGTGCTTGTGTGGGTTTGTTGTTTCATTTCTGCCAAACTGAATCTTATAAGAAGTGTGACTACTCATGATTAATATCCACTTACGCTCCTCAGCAATGGCATTATACTGACCTACGTCCAACACCACCAATTAGGTAAGAGGCAATAATGGACAAGACTATAGATATAGAAGTGGCTTATTCTGCACAATGCTTTCATTTCAAGAAAGCAACTGAAGAATTACACCACATATTTCTAGTAGCCATGACAGAAATTTAAAAGCAACATGCCCATTAGTTCAAACTCTGAAAGTGCCTCATGGACTTTGACTGGAACATTCTCATTGTTTCTGTACTTCAAAGGGGAGAATGGAAAACTTGTAGATGAATGTTGAAACTGAGAATGGATAAAGAAAACCAAGTTCTGTTTACACCCATTTACCCTAGAGCACTGACCATATAGCCATAACAGCAACCACAGTGGTCATTATTCAAATATGCAACAGCAGTCACACTTTGGCATGCATTGTCGCTTTGTGACAAAAACGTAATACACTGCAATGCCATTTGCTGAAAGCATCTGGCACCAAATATTCTGTTGCATTTAAGAAAATATGCTGAAGCCTTAAAGACTAGTTCACTGATTGCAGTGCCAAACTTATCATTTAAATAGCTTCTCTTTCCTTTTGCCATTTACCTTCAGTCAGACTTTTATAATCCTCATTTATCATTCATCTCACTTTGCAGACACCATCTAAGAATATATCAGGGCACAAGATACTGTATACTACATAAACATGGTTAAAACATTTCTAATCTAATTGTACAAAACAGACACACTGGGTAAAGGAGGGGAGAAAGTGCAAAGAAGTAACTGCATGAACCATGTAATACAATGGCCCCAGCAATTACACTAGATGCACAATTCTGAGCTGCTGGGAACCAAGGTGCAAGCAGAGGTAGGATTAGCAATAGTCTAACAGTAATAAATGAAAAGGGGTTGTCCTCGCTGAGCTGCATGTGCCCCCACACTCCAACACAGCAGACATTCACTGTTCTGTTCCAGCTGAATAAAATCTCAGTCAGGCCAAACAGAATTTACATTTCTTGGTGGCTTCATCACACAGAAGGTAACACAGTACAGCTCTATGGAAAAATAATTGAAAATCCACATTTTTTGTAAAAATACATTTACTTCTATGCTTCTATCCTCTCCTACTTCAGCTTACAGAGTTAAGTACGTTCTGGTATTTCTAACTTTTCATGCTTTCATACAAAACCATGCCACCACACTTGTATTACACATAGTAAATGTTGCAGTAAAGATATAAAATGCACATACTACCAAACTGGAACTACAAAGCTGAGAATCCCCTAGGCAAACAAATCTGAAGAAGTTCTGGTATGTAAATGCATACCTGTCTCTGTGGGGAGCCAAACAATCCCAGCCTACCATGTATGCAATCAGAAGTTTATATGGCTATAGCTGTGGTCTCAGATAAATGAATAATTTGATTTAACTTACTGAACTCAGTGTTATTACTTGACAGAATGTGTATACACATCCAAATGTACTGAAAGATTTTTCTCTGTGTTCAGATAAAACTCTCAATTTTGACTTACTCAAAATGACAGAGCAAAAAATTCTGTTAAGCAGACATGAAAATAATTTCAAATGACTACACAACTCCAAATGCTAATAACTTTAGAAATGTGATACAGTAATTTTAATTGCAATAGATCACAAACAAATTTAAAAGGCCAAATAAGATAATGACAGAAATTACAAAATAACTACTTAATCAAAATTTGGGTAACAATTTGCCACTGGTGATCAAAACCATGGAAAGGTAAGTTTCTAAGGTAGTCACTGAACCTTTCTTGTCACACAGTACACAAGCACAACCAAAAGAGAAAACATTGAGGAACAAATGATTATATATATTAATGTTAAGACTTTTATATGAATGTTTGAAATAGTCAGGCTCAATTATATTTTAGATGTATACATAACAGCACTGCAAAAGTAAATAAATGGTCTGTTTTAAAAAAGAGGTACACCGGGAAATGTTGCACTGCTCCAGTAACGATGCAGGAATGAAAAATAACTTAACAAATTAAAACCAGTGTAAAATTATTAAAATGATAAAGCAACAATTCACACATTGAATTGCTCAGATGGTGCTGGTGCAGAATGAGCTTAATGGGACTCAGTGTTTGACAATAACTACCTGCCAAGGTCATTCACTCACAAGAAACAGAAATGTTTATAGATGTGTTAATCCTCCACTTCAAGGGCCCGGTATGAAACTACCCTGATGTGCATAGTGTTCTATATTTATGAGAGAAATATCAAAAGGTTCTTATATGGGCCACCTAATAATAGACCACTTGTAACTGAGACAGAACATTAGGCTCAATTATGACAAATTTCAGTTTTAGAATATTCTACTGGTTTGTCAAACAACAGTTAAAAGTAAGTTTAAAATCAGGCAAATCCTGTGCTCTTTCCAGGTAAGGAGTATGAGGCATGAAAATTAAGGTCAAGAATACATCAAAGAAATCCTTGTGCCATGCAGACCCACAGCCTTAACTTCTTGTATTTTTTTTTCTGAGCACTTCACATGCAAATACATGCTTTTAACATCATATACAGAATCTGTTCCAGTATTTACTTATGTCAAGTTAGGAAATGTATGAGTCATCTTCTCTTAAAACGGGTTTTAAGAAGAGTAATGATTTTATAAAAAATTATGCAATTATTAAAAATACCATCCCAAGCAGTTAAATATGATTTATTCTCCAGACACAGGAGGCTTATGAGGTCTTAGTAGTTAAAAATAGTTGCAAAATATGGATCCTAAGCAGAGTTCACCAAAAAGAATTCTCTATTCTTCTAATTAAACATTATAAATTAAAGCAATGTGAAATGAAGATTTTACTACACAAAAGCTAGCATTTTTAATAATTTGAAATAAGATCAACAGTATAGGCAGCAAACTACCAAGAACAGGGTGACAGAAAAAAAATATATGCAGTAAGAATGCACTACTGGCATAAAGGAAAGTTTCCCCTCTCCCCATTCCAAAAATACGTACCTGCTGAATGTGTCTACCAGCTCGTTTCTGAGGTTGGTAGGTAAGCCAAGTATGCAAGACTGGATCGATGTTAATTGCTAATCCTTGTATACTGGACAAGAGCACTGCACCTATAAACCATAGAAAAGAAAAGAAAATGTAATCTCCTAAAGAATCTCCATGTATGTGTTCATTTTTCTCACACACAAATGATCCTTGCTGCAGACTTCTGTTTGGATTGGACTTATGAATGTAATTTAAATTCCAATCAAGAACAGCAATTAAAACATAACCTTCAGTAACTTCATGAAAGTGAGAAACTTGCCAGCACTACCAGTTAGGGACACACATATTAAAAAAAAAAAAAAAAAATGGAAAGAAAAAAGCAGAGAATTACTTTTTGATTTTGCTTATTACAATTTTTGCCAAGAAAAATACTTGTTTTCACAAAGTTGTATGTGTAATTCAATACACACAACACCTTGCCTCAGATTCTCAGCCAAAAATAACATTATTCAAGAAATGAGCCAGTAATAAGACCCTTGAAAGAAACAGAAAAACATAATGCATGACTCCCCCAACCTCAATACAGAAAAACTTGGTCAAGCACAGTGGGTTCTTTTAAGAAAGATTGGTCAACTTTAGGTTAGAGTTCTGCTTAAAGCTGCTCGGGATAAAAGTTTTCCATGTAAATGTGGCCATTAATATTCTTTAGTGGACTAGTTAGGCAAAATAAGGAAAATTTTTGAACTCTGCAACGTTGGCAATTCTTGGTATTGTGAGTTCTTAGGATTTTATCCTAACTTTTCAAATGTATGCAATTTTCTTTATATTCACTTTTGAAGTCCAGGGATTAGAAGATAAGGCTACTATATCTTAAGGCACAAAACAGAAGAAAAACTCAGTATCCAGAAATCTTAGCATATACTTCAAGACAAGGACAAAAAAACCAAATTTGTGAAGTGCTATTTCCATTAAAGCTGCATTAAAAATCTGATGATGTACTAGTGAGGCTTTTGTTTTAATAGTACAGGTATAGTATCTATCTATAACCATGCCAAGTCCAAGGTCCTACACCTGGGTCGGAGCAATCCCAGGCACAGCTACAGGTTGGGCAGAGAAGAGATTCAGAGCAGCCCTGCGGAGAAGGACTTGGGGGTGTTGGTTGATGAGAAAATGAACATGAGCCGGCTTCAGTGTGCGCTTGCAGCCCAGAAAGCCAACCATACGCTGGGCTGCATCAAAAGGAGCATGACCAGCAGGTCGAAGGAGGTGATCCTGCCCCTCTACTCTGCTCTCGTGAGACCTCACCTGGAGTATTGTGTGCAGTTCTGGTGTCCTCAACATAAAAAGGACATGGAACTGTTGGAACAAGTCCAGAGAAGGGCCACGAGGATGATCAGGGGACTGGAGCACCTCCCGTATGAAGACAGGCTGAGGAAGTTGGGGCTGTTCAGCCTGAAGAAGAGAAGGCTGCGTGGAGACCTCATAGCAGCCTTCCAGTATCTGAAGGGGGCCTATAGGGACTGCTGGGGAGGGACTCTTCATTAGGGACTGTAGTGACAGGACAAGGGGTAACGGGTTAAAACTTAAACAGGGGAAGTTTAGACTGGATATAAGGAAGAAATTCTTTCCTGTTAGGGTGGTGAGGCACTGGAATGGGTTTCCCAGCGAGGTTGTGAATGCTCCATCCCTGGCAGTGTTCAAGACCAGGTTGGGTCTTGGGTGACATGGTTTAGTGTGAGGTGTCCCTGCCCATGGCAGGGGGGTTGGAACTAAATGATCTAAAGGTCCTTTCCAACCATAACCATTCTATGATTCTATGATTCTATTGCAGCAGAATGTAATTGCAGAGCTATAAAATTCAAAAGCAAATGGATTAACAAAGGCATCACTTATACAATACAAAGGGAACCACATACATTGAAAAAGTGTGGTAAATAGTAATCGGGTTTTTTACCTTTTCACATAAGCTTTGCAATTCTACACCAAAAAAAAATTAAATAATGAAATAAATAACAAAATAAACTCAAACCCAGAAGTGGAGAGGGACTCTTCATTAGGGACTGTAGTGATAGGACAAGGGGTAATGGGTTAAAACTTAAACAGGGGAAGTTTGGATTTGATATAAGCAAGAAGTTCTTTACTGTTAGGGTGGTGAGGCACTGGAATGGGTTGCCCAGGGAGGCTGTGAATGCTCCATCCCTCGTGGTATTCAAGGCCAGGTTGGATGAAGCCTTGGGTGACGTGGTTTAGTGGGAGGTGTCCCTGCCCATGGCAGGGGGGTTGGAATTTGATGATCTTAAGGTCCTTTCCAACCCTAACTATGATAAATCCTGGTTACTGAATGGTCCCAGCACCAAGTTCTAGACAGTTAGAGTAGTTCTAGAATTCAAAGAATTGTAGTTCTCAAAGCAATTTGTATTATATTTGCCCTATAGTATGCAATATAATTATTCAGCAATCTGAACTTGATGATAATTTCAAATAAATTCAGGAAGTTTGTCACATAATGTACTTTCAAAAAAAAAAAAAAACAGAAAAAAGACACAGCTCAAAACAAGTAACACATCATCAAAACTGCAAGTGGAAAAACAAAAAGTCATGAGTTTATTGTATATAACAAAATTTTAAAACCAGCTGAACTCCAAATGGCAGAAGAGCCACCAGCCTGGGATGACGCATGCAAAGCCAGACAAGAACAATGGGAAAACGGCAGTCATGAAATACACAAAGACAAATGATCTGCCTTGCACAGGCTTGGAGTTGGAACACACACTGTGAGGAACTCCTATACACAAACTAGTGTCTGTAAGCTGATGGTTTTAAATGTCAGTAATAAACCTTAGAAATAAATCTGCAGTTTAAAGCAAAGGCAATGTCAAGTATACAGTAAAAGGGTAACATGCAATTAAGAAGAGCAGTAAATATGCCTTGAGGCAAGATCTGGAAGAGACCAAAAAAAGGAAGCAGAAGGTAACAGCATAAAGTATATGCTGCAATCATTAGCTTTTATAAGATATTTGGATGCCAAAATAAGAGAATCCTGCATCTTTAAGAGATACCGGCTGTTGTCAGCAATACATAATGAAAGGTTTAATGTGTATGTGATATGACAAGTGGGAGTCAGAGACCTCCCAAAGAGTGAGGAATAAAGTCAGTCTACAAGCAAAGTCAACAAAAAATCCCACATTTAGAACAGACTCCTGAAAAGAAAAAAAAACAGTGTTACTGCAGCACATGATGCTAGTTACTTGGTACAGTTTCTTGTTTACTGCAAAAAAAGTAAACTGAAACTAAAAGGTTGAATACAATTAAGTTCTTCTTTGAACTGAAACTATCTTTTCACTTCAATGAAGTCACACTAACACAGTCCCATAAAACTCTGAAGTAAGGTATAACAGAGGGCAAAATGGTTTATTTTTTCAGTTCTCTTTTGTCCCTGACAGATTGCACCTGGAAGGAAAAAAATGAAAAACCCAGTACAAGTAGTCAGATAAGAAATTACATTATCTGTCATTCAATTTGACTATCAGGTAACTCTGGCCTCCTACCAAGCCACTTCTGCCACATTGAATTACTGAAATTTACTGCCATATTTACTACTCAGCCACTACATTCTAAGAGCAGTCCAATCACCACCACCTATGTGAAGTTGTTTTCTGTGTAACAGCTTTCTTCAAAATAAATAACTAGTAGTCAAAGAAAAGTTTCTCAAACCCCCCAAAAAAAAGTCTTAAACTCATGTTTTGTTGCCAAGAAGTAAGAATTCCCCCCAGATTTCAAGGAAGATCTCACTCATGTGAGGACCAAGCTGTAAGTTGTCAGCAGACTCCTTACACGTCTAAGAAAAAAAATCAATTGCTATTTTGTCTCTGTCAAAATGCGATGCTCAAGTTTCCTGGCTTTCATTAAGATTGTGGTGTTTTCTCCCCTCCCATTTTCTCCTTTTAATTAAATTTACATTTCAGAAAACAACAGACCTTAGTCCCACACCATATGAGGTTTCCTTTCCAGATCCCAGCTCTTGCCAGTTATCTATTACATCTATCTAGTAAATTATTTAAAAATAAGAACTGAACCCGACACCACGTAATCACTGAACACTTGACAATTTTCTCAAATGTCATGGTGTCGTTTGTGAGGCACAGTTTGGGCAAATAACTTCTTTCCTATGTTTCAGCTCCCTCCTGAAGGTATGAACCAAGGGGATGCTGCAGGCGGGCAGCAGAAGATGAAGAGGAGGCAGCAGAGCACAGATGTGCTTGGCACTCCCATCCTGCAGACAAGCTTCCTGACAAGCTTCCTTGGATGATAACAGCTGCAGCAACAGCACTGGTCTTCCCAAGGGACTGAGGCGGGGGGCGCTCCAGAGGAGAACGTGGGGCCTCCTGCACTTAAGCTGGCTCTGCCACCACCTCTTCCCACCTTGTGCTGAGCAAAGGCTGCTGGAGGAACAGGGAGGAGAAGGGTCACTAGCCTGGGGCTCTAGCCCTACCCTCTCCTCCAAAGTGAAATTCAAGCATATAATAATTGGGAGAAAAAAGGGAATATGGTACACTTCTGGTGGGGTGGAAGAAAACACCTGGTGGATACAGCTGCAGAGAAAAAGAAGCTAGAGGTAAAGGCATCTGTCGTGGACAGGTGAAATGGGGCAGAACCAAGCAGCAGAGTGGTCCCGAGGGATGCTCAGTGGTCATAAAAGAATGAGAAAAGGCTTCAAATATAACAGGAGTTTAGTGAAAAACATTTACTAGGAAGCACAGACGTTAATAGTTCAGTCATAAATTTACTTACTGAAACTCAGCATACAACAGTAACATACTATGACGCACTAGACATTGAGAAGCAGCCTTACTATTTGTGCAATGTATTTACATAATGTAAACTGCATAAATTTGCACTGCATAAAATGCATTTTCTCGCTGAAGCAATTATTGATCACCCCCAGATAATTCTTTCTCTGGTCTGTGTGTGTGCAGTATCCAAACACATCCATATTGCTATATGCAGTAAAAACTTTCAGTAACACATATTTGATATTCCTCTATAAAATGAACAGAAAACCCTCTGCAGGAAACAGAAGTTTAAGTTACAGTTAATGTATACTTTCTGTTGGGGAAGGATCACA